TAACTTCTTCTATCCAGTTACCTGGGCCTCGCATATTCTCGACCATTCAGAGAAAATTGTGGATATGGTCGTCAAGTGTGCTTCACTGTGAATAAGTTCACGCTCGGTCATCGATAACCCCCCCCCCTCCCCCCGGATTTTGATGATTCTCGTTGCCTTTCGACGGAACAGTCGTAACTATTAGAAAGGCCGTTACAACGTGAATACTTCATCCGTTACCTGGAGCTAAGGCAACACCTTTCCGCTTCCTCCAGAAAGGGAGACGACACAATATGCTAAAAGTGCAGAGCATCCGTTAAATGCAAGTCGCTTCGAAGTTGTGGGCGGGTATCCTCCGGACCCCCCCCTCTCCCCAACCCCCAAGGATGACATAGACAGGCTTGTCTTCGTCCTGTCCATGATTCTGTCCACGTATTCATACGACGACTCTAGGAATAAAATTACTGTCTTCGATAAAAAAAACTTGGGATCTTTCCTCAAGTTCGTCAAATTTCAGTCCACGCAATGGTATTTATCCTGGAGGATGACAGTATGCCTCCTGATACTTAGCTTCAAAATATGCCGTGTGACAACGTTGTGACACTACCTTCAAGCGGCCCCAGTTATCCTATAACGCATAAATTTCAATTTCCGCAAATTTGGTTTTCACTCGCATTTCAGAAGAATCAAATGTTGCTCAATGGTTTGATATCACATTCCTTTTCCTTATGAATGGTCAATGACTCGGGATGGTCGATCCTTGTTTGCCCGGGGTCCGTGTTTTACTGACAGGCCATTGTCGGAACTGGGTACACCGCCGCATACGACTAGGAAATATGATCTGTCGCCTCTAGAAGTCTCTGTAATATGATCATTGGAAGACGCAAATATGCCTGCATGAGACCACTGTCAACTTTATCCTGTCCTCCAATTGGGAAGCTTGCAGTCGACTCCTTGCATTTCTGAGGCGGGCCAGCGCATTCGACGATTATTGCCTTCAGAATATAGTGCGACTACGACTCTCGAACTACGCCTGCGCGTGTTGCTCCATCGATTGGTGTTTCGGCTGCCGACAATACTATTAAAACTCACTGTCTCAGCTGATTTTGTTACAAACTCTAAGAAAGCTCATCCGCAACGTCATCCCCGCCCGAATTGTATCTTAGACACTAGCCACTGAAAGCATTGCGGTGTATTACGGAATAATATCAAGATAGAGGATGTTAGACCGACTTTCTTCGGCTTTTGACAGTGGAATGCCAACTGCACAATACTTGTTACCGGCCTTATGGTCGATTGCGGGGATTAGGTCGCATTACTCTTCTTCCTGCCTTCTCCAATCCTTACTCCTTTAACTGCTTCCTCTTGCTTTTTTCTACTTCCAGCACAAAACTCTGCTCCAATTTTTGGAAACCCATCGCAGTCAGTCTCCGGTCGAGGTGAACCCAAATGCGGTAAGTTGAGAACTGTAGTGATTTTGCCAATACCGCCATCCTAAGGTGTCCCGCTTTTAAGAATGATTAAGACCGCGGAAGCTCTCGTAGCAAGCAGCTCACAACATTTTTGGTGGATACCAGCTTATCTTCTCGAGCATACC